TGCTTGGAGTTTAAAAAAAAATAAGTTTTCCATGTTGAATTTCCTTTGTGATGAAGGTGAAGCAAAATGCATACAACATTAATCTGGCTAAAAACAAATTAATATGATCTGAGGAATTTCTTTATTTAACTTAGGCAGAAATAAATCCATAAACTAAGATAGATTCTTGTTTCTTCTGGGATTTCACTTTCTAGATATTATTTGACATAAGTAATAGGTAAAATTTAAATTAGCTTACAAGAAGGCCAAAGTTTATGGTCACACTAACCAATCTTTTTAAACTGAAAAAATTAGAAATATTACCTTTCATTTTGCTTGATTCTTTCAATCTCATAGTGACAGAATTTCTACCCAATTTTATAAATTCTAAAAAATGACAGAAAGATCCTTAATAAATTATACATTTTCTAAAAGTTTACACAATCCTCTCCAACTGAAGAAATTAAATTGATTAGATCATTAAATATTCAAAATGGAATAACTGAATGAAAAGGAGAACTTCCAGTTTTAGATCCATTTTTGTGAGGTGTTAAAGTGTATTCAGTAGTATTCACAAGTCACTTAGTACATTTACTAACATGACCTAGATTGCTACTGCTGTTGCTACATCATGAAGACCTGTTATATTGGCCATGTCTTATATGTAAATCAAGCAACATCTCACATGAAAATATATACAGTGTTCTCTTAGACTTTCATATGAGTCGTGTGGATGCTTCAGAAAAAAAGTACTTTCATCTATTTGCAGACTGTAGTGAATAAACTAAGAATCTTGGATGGTTCCATCTATCAGTACAAGTTGGGTGCTTAGTCAAAGCATAATGCTGTAGTAATTGTAAGAATAAACAGAGCTCAGGACAACAGTAAAAGTGCTAAGCTTTATTCAACTAAATGAAACTCAGCTACAAAAGGAAAATAGGAGTTACAAGTTAAATAGCCAACTGGGGTGAGTCCATTGCTTGCACATAGAGAGCATGGGATACTACTCTTAACACATTCTTCGTTCCTAGAAAAATGTAGTATTACCATCCATAATGATCTGGGGGGGGGGTCTTGTCATCCATTCAAATCTCCTGACCTGTTGGACCCCAGCATCATCTCCATTATGTGGCATGTCTTCCTCTGGTATGGGGATACTCAGGGTACACCTATTTTGTTCTACAGTGGGAGACTCAGTGGTTAACTTTGCTTCTGGGCAGGGTGCTAAATCATGAACAGATGCAGTAGACTCCCTTCCATCTGGATACTTTATGTTGGTATAAATCAGATTACTTTCTAAGAGTTCGACTTGGTCCACATAAGGGTCAGTTTTACTATTTCTTATGAACCTCCTTAATAGTATGACATGAGCCAGGATGAGCGAGAACTCCTGTGTGATGAACAATGAAGGAATGCAAAGAAATGCTTGTGAGGGGTTGTATTTGTAGATATACATAGCAACAAATTTACAGTGTAGCACTTCAGGAAGTACCAATTTCCAATACTTCTCAGCTACGTTTCACGATCTAACAGCTAACTGAATTGCCTTCCATATAGTGCCATTAAATCGTTCAACCTGTGTATTCTCAGTTGGATGATATGGAGTGGTTTTACTTGTTGTGACCCCATTTTGGGAGAGGTAGTCTCTCAATTCCTTAGACATGAAAGACATGGCAGAAGGCACAGGTCCCTTAAAATCAATACTTAGTCATTCCATGGGTCTGGTCGCCTTGATAAGAGTCTTTCTGACAAGTTATAGAAACAAAGTTTAATTTCCACACAGTTTTACACACCTTTTTTACCACCTCTGTAGAAAAAGGAAGATTTTTTTTCTCTAACGAAATGTAAGAGTCTAGTAACTCCCGGGTGGCATAGCCCATTGTGAATGTCAGTAAGGGCAGAACTGGTAATGGTTGAAAAAGTGTAAGCTCGACTAAGTGCATCAGGAACTATGTTCTCCTTGCCAGGGTGGTATTTTATCATGTAGTCGAATGGTGAAAGTTCTAACCACCATTCTTGAAACTTGGCATCCTTTATTTTAGTATACTTTTCTTTGGTAAGCATGAATGCCACCAATCTCTGATTAGTAATTAGGGTAAAATGTTGCTGGGACAAATAGTGACTCCATTTCTGAATTGCCTCAATAATTGCCATGACCTCCTTCTCTATTATGTGATACTTTGATTCACTTCCCTGTAGTATTTTTGACATGAATGCTACTGAGCGTCCACTTTGGCTAAGGTTTGCAGAAATAACCATATCTGATGCGTCACATTCCACCTCATAAGGTAAATTTCCGTCTATTGGTTTTAGTGTGGCCTCCATCAGTTCTTTTTTTAATTGATCAAAAGCTTCAAGTGTCTTTTTCTCAAGTGGGAATTATTTATTTTATTTAATAAGGGTTGAATTTTATAAGAAAAATTATGTACCCATTTTGCATAATACACAAACATGCTCAGCACCCTTTTTATGGATTTCAAGTTTTCTGGAGGTGATAGTTCTTTTAAGGGGCAAAGTCTTTCTTGGTTGGGCTTAATGATTCCACTGCTGACATGGTATCCTAAAACATTGATGGAAGGTACTGAAGTCACAAATTTTGATTTATTGAGGGTAATTTTGGCTTTCACCATCGCCTCCAGGAACCTTTTCATATTTTAGTCGTGTTCTGTTTGTGTGTGTCCTGCAATAGTAATGTCATCAATTTAAGGAAAAGCACCGCATAGATTTTCTTTCTTTATTATTCTGTCTATAACTTTCTGGAACAAAGCAGCCCTGTTTCTGACCCCAAACAGAATTCTGCAGAACTGGAACAAGCAACCATTTGCCTCAAAAGCAGTGTATTTTCTATCTGATACTTTAAGTGGTAGGCACTTTTGTGGTTGAATCGCTGTATCTAGCAACGTCATTGATTATTTTATCAATTCTTGGTAGAGGATAAGCATCCAGTTCTGTATACAGATGTATCATTTGCAAGTAATCTATACACATTCATTTTTATGATGGTGAGTGGGGTCCTCTACCATTACCAGCTGGGCTCACCATGGGGAAACACTTTCTTCAATTATGCCTTCAGAAAGCAGGTTCCGAATTTCTTTATTGATGAAGGACTGATCCTCTTTGTTAAAGTGCCTCGACTTGATGGCAATGGGTTTATAGTTTGGTGATAAATTGGGAAATAGTGAAGGATTTTCCATCTCCACCACGTTTAATGCACAAACCTGATGACTACTGTCCACAGTTAATTTTGGCAGGGGCCCACCATATTTGAACATAGTTTTCTGATGCTGATGCAGAAAATCCTGACCAAGTATCATGTTAGAACATAAATCTTTCAAAACACCTAGCAAAGGGTTAGACTTACAATTACCTTGAATTCCCTTGAGTTAGTATTTGAAGTTTTCTGGGCCATGATGATACCCTTACTGGACTGGTGGACTTCCAAGTTCAGTTCTCACATGACTTTTTCTCTGATATAGTTATCTGTGCTACAGGAATTGAGTAGAGCACTTAGTTTGTTTTTTTTTTATTAACCACTACATGCGTTGTAGCAAGATAGAGCTCTCATGGCACATTAGCAAATGTGGTCAGTATATAAGGACCAAGTACTGCTTCTAATGAAGATTTGGACCGACATGCTTGAGCAATAGTGTCCTTCGTTTGAGTATTTTTTACAAGTAGCTCTAGGAGCAGGACATCGGTCCCATGAATGGTAGGCAAATCCACAAAAAAAGCATTTATGTTTGGTTTGAAAAGTCATGGCTACTGGAAATTTATCACATACCTTTGTGGGGTCAGAGTCAACTATCACTGCCATTTGCTCTTCTGGAGCAGTATGTAAGTCATTATTTCTTTGTGCTAAGTCTAGTGCAGACACTTCAGTGTAAGCTGTTTGTACATCTAGGGTTTTATTTTCTAAGAGATGCTGCCATATGGAATTCAAACTTAAGCCTGAAATGAAGGTGTTTCTCATAGCTTTGTTACCGCATTCCTCAGCAGTATGGTCTTTGAAATTGCAATTTCTTTTCAGCTTTTCTAGTTCTCTGAAAAATTCGTCCAGAGACTCTCCCAGTTTCTGTTGTCTTGTGGCCAACAGGTGCGTTGCAAGCACTTCATTGGGCGTTTTATTAAATAAAGCATCCATTTTTCTTATAGCCACATCAAATCTGTACATCCTTCAATATACTCAAATACACTGGGACTTATATAACTCAACAGAGCCCGGTATTTGTTTGGTATTCTTTCCTGGTAATCATATGTATAGTTCAGTAGGAATGGTAGTCTCTAGCAGCTGTTGGTGAACAAGGTTTGACATCCAGGCATTTTGGCTTCCATGCTGTTTCCATGCTTGATTTTATTTACATGTTTAGTTGAATAAATTGTGGTAATTGTAAGAGTAAACAGCTGAGGATGACACTAAAAGTGTTAAGCTTATTCAACTAAAAGAAACTCAGCTACAAAAGGAAAATAGGAGTTACAAGTTAAATAGCCAACTGGGGAAAGTTCATTGCTTGTACATAGGGAACACAGGATAATAGCCATGCATATCTGGAGTTAAAATATTATTCTTTGTCAATCTAGAATTGATAAATGACAAATTACATCAAGTCTAACATACAACAGTGTGCTCATGATTCTTTGTAATCTCCATGCAAAAAATCAATAATGAGTTATTCATTCAAGATCTTTCAGTCTTTGCCTGAATTGTTTTTTATAAAATGTTGTAACTATTATATACTGGACATATAGTGTGCTGGAAGGACAGTTTAAGAATGTATTAGACATGATGTTTATGGGAGAGGAAACAAATGGCTTCTCAGATCAAAAAAATACAACAGACATCCGAGGAATGCCAGAGTGTACAGTAGCTAAAATGAAGACAACTAAATTTTATTAGATGAAATATATTTTGACTAGATTTGATTCAACTGCAACTCACATTTTTTAATAGTTGGATATTTATGTTGTTTTTTTTTTGTTTTTTTTCAGAAAACACTTTAAAAATTCAGAATAAAATGTGTTACCTTTATCTGGTATCCAGCCTGGTTGCAAGATAGGAGATACTTGGGATTCATCTCTGTGTAGAAAATTCCACTAAAATAAATAAATAAATAAAAAAATGCTTTGTTTAAAACTTGCTTCCTAAAACTTGAAGCTGAGGAGATGAGAAAGAGATTTGCTTGAAAATTCTAAAAAAGAAAAATTCTTTAAAAATGCAGAATATTTAGACATTTTTGGCTTTTACTTTCACAGAGAAAATCAAGAGATGTATATTTCACTTGGAAATACACATTTATCACATAAATAAATATACCTCTACTGTTTACAGTTTTGTATTTCAACTGTGCTGTATGTATTTGATTGCATAAAATGTGAAGTTTTCTATTAGTCTTAAAAGTGAAAAGTAGTCATTTGCATTACATATAAATGTGATATTTTGATAATTTTAATTAGTTGTGTCAATGCAGACTGTACAGTGTTCCCCATTTTATGTAACCTTTTCAGGACAACCATTTGATATAAAACTTTCCTGTATGGCTGTATCAGATTTAAAATATTTATTTACTTCTGAGAAATTATTCAGTCTATCTGATAAAGAGATAATGTTGAAGACAGAAACTCTCATTTTTTTTGTCTATTTGGGAGTTAAAGATATTCAAGTCCATGATATCCTAAAATTTATCAATTGAGAGGACAAGTAAAAAACAAAAACAGTAAAATTGTTAAAAATAAATTTGTTATATCTTTTTCATGATAAATGCATTTCACTATAAAGGATTGAATTAAACACTAAAATACAATTCAAGTGTTGTATTGCTAGAAATAGGAAATCATGGCAGAGCAGTATGTAATGGTAGGTGGCCCCATAATACCTTGACATGGCATGGAAATAGCTAGACCTATATAAGATGTGCCCTGACATCTGCTCATGGCATGGTGATATGAATTATAGGATTTCAACTAGAGCATGACAGAGGGTGCCAGATAGATGAGACATTTCATTTCTGAAATTTGACATCCCTCAATCTATAGTGTTATATGTGTACCAGGAATACCAGATGGAAAGTATTACAATTCACTATGCACAGGTTCTTAATGGCTGTAACTGGTGTTGCCTGGTTAGAATTGTCATTGGTAATAAATAAGCAACACTTGACCAAATCACATCCACAACCAATAAAAAAGGACCCAAGAAGCATAAACAATAAGTTAGTTCTGCATTCTGTAGTTATAGGGACAGAGGACCCATGATGCAAGTCATGAATTTTAAGATTGCATTATTTACAACTTGGTAACTTGTAATTTCAAGTCAGATTAAACTTTTATTGTTGTCTGGCAACTGAGGCACAAAAAATAAAAAGATAGATAAGATAGAATTGAATGAAGAAGATGCAATTCTTTTGTATACAAAGTACATTTTTGGCGAATGAGGCTTATTGCTGTAATCTCAGGAGCCATTGCCAATAAATTAGCTCCTAAGTGTATATAGTCCACAAAAATAGCCTTGTATCAAAAAGGGCGAAGTAAATTATTATTTTTATATTCTATGAACAAGTCAGGCTATTATCATCTTTTACTTCCTAAGACATTATATTGTATCTTTATCAGTTTTAGTGCAGATCCTTGAGGCTTGTTCCACTACCCCCAACCTTCCATTGGCAGAGTTGTTAACTCATTCAACTCTGACATCTGACCACTATCTCTGTATATTTGGGTAAATTTCACTATTTAAAACTGTTTGCATAATAGAATAAATTAGTAATGAAGAATGGCAAGTAGACATATAAAATATGAACAGCAGTCTTATTTTGTTTACATGTGACAAAACAGTATAATTCTCTTTGTGATTAGACACTGAAGCATTATAACAATAGTACAGATTCAATAGGTCAATGTCCCAGTTATAATAAATTTAAGTCTAAAATTAAATTTCCTTTTTTCCATTTGCCTTTTTTGGCAATTACAAATTCCTCCAAAACTGCAGTTTATAGCTTCATTAAAATTACATAACAGGTATAGATGCAAAAGTCGTGGTGATATAACATTCCTTTTCATGTACTCAAACACTATTATTATCAACTTATACTCTTGCAAAATCAAACCCTAATTTAAAAAAAAATAGAATTTATTAATCACAACACTAACTACTTTTGCTAAATCTCTACTTAAACCAATATGACAGACTGACCTTGCAGAAAGCCAGTCAATTTGACTGATTGCAGTTGAAAGAAATGAAGCTTACTTCTACAACAAGGAGAAGGGCATCTTTAGCAGCAGACACAGTGTAAGGCAGCAATTGTTGTTTCAGGTAAACATCATAAACCTTCAGAAGGATTTCATTTAAAATTTCTTCCACATATTCACAGGCTATTTCTTCATTATCAAGAATTTCTTCTATCTCTTGCCTGAAAAGTGGTAAAAAGCCATGAATCAAATAAACAAATTATTTATATTAGAATAAATTTGATGACTTGGATGTTTTGTGCCAAACAAATTTCACATTATAAAGTAAAATGGTTAAAAAAATGTTGATATGATTCATGAGTGTGGTGCATGTATAGAAAGAGATGAAGAAACAGAGTGAGACAGAAAGAGAAGAATATAAGTTGAAAGAAGCAAGGAAGTTGCTGCTTTCTTTCTTTCTTTTGGCTGTTACTGGGTTGGATTGATAGTATTTTTGTGCACAGAAATTTCCTCATTTGAGTTTGGGCTAAGTAAGTTATTTTTGTTTTGTCCTGTTTATGTATACCAGCTTTATTTGGCATATTTCTCTAGAAAGTAGGAAATTTTGTTTTTATTTCATATATAAATCAACTGTTGAAGTGCCATGAATTTAAATTAATAGAATGATCATTTTATTCTGAACATGAAAAAATTAATGAATGTATGAAACTGATCCAAGTAATCTATTTCTAACTGTCCATGACACTCCTGACTGAAAAATAGCACTACATTCCAAAAAGGAACGCTGTTCTCCTTGCTTGTGTACCCTCATGAATTCTCGTAGCTCCAAGACAGTGTCTTTCTTAAATTAAGATATCATTCTCTTCTATACTCCTCCCTGATCTCTTGATCACATAAATGACTCGGAGATAACGGTCACTTTCGTCGAGTACTTCTACGTAAATTCTTCACAAATGTGCACATCTATATACTGATTGAGCTCCTGATAATTCATGACGAGGTCAGCCTTCTGTTTCTTTTCCTGCAGATACAGAAGTAGCCAGCCATTATCCATCAAGTTTGTAGTTCACGTGTACTCCTCCTTGTGTGGCTGTCTGTCTGGTTCTTCAACGTGGGTGGTGTCTGGTCACCAGACCACTTCCAAGACACAAAACAGATCTTCTTGTTTTGGTCATTCTCCACATGGATGTCAGGTTTGTTGATGGTGATGGGCACACACAAATTTTTGGTCAAGTTGAAGAGTGCTCACAGTCTCATTGCTGGATGCACATACTCCTCCAACTTCTTAATAATGTCAAATCTGAGCAGCAGGTCAAAACCAAGAAATTTGTCATCCACAGTGAGAACCTCAACATCAGTAGGGTGTCTGTTGTTCACGTCAAGTTGAATAAGTCCTTCCCCAGAGCAGTTCAGGGTCTTTTCACCAACAGTGAGCACATCCACTTCCACTTCCAAGAGCAAAAAAGCAGTCTGCTTATGAGCGATTAGTGTTATAGTTATGTCAATTGATGTTTGGTTATAATCACCATGGAAATGTCTAAATCCTGACGTTCTTTGAATATCTGTTAAGCACAATGTGCTTAACTGACTGCTATATCAGAATTGAAATCAACCAAAGGATACACGGTAGAGGCAAGATCCTGTTATCTACCATTAGCATTAGAAAAAAGAACTGATTTCACATAATACAATATTATGTACAAAATAAGTATTCCTAATCTTGACATTCTTGTGATTAATATTCTGGATTTTAATTAAAATAATTTGGTCTACAACAGGGCTTTAAAAACTGATAAAGAGATCAATCCTTAGAGATACACTGTTTACATTAAAAGTATATAATATTTTATAGGTTGGTTGAAGCAGGAAATGACTTAAAATAATTTTGTCTATATGTTTCAGAATGACTTTATCAAAATACTCATATATATATATATATATATATATATATATATATATATATATATATATGAATATAGTTTTCCTGCACTGATTTGACATCTGGTTGAATTAGCAGTTAAAGTTATGGTCAAACCTAATGTCAGCTACAAATAATCAATTGTGGAAAAAGAAATCAATGTTTGTTGAGCAAAAGTCATTATAGCTGAGTATAAGCTGCATTGTGAAATTACAGTGAGGAGCAAGTTATTTTAATTAAAATGTTCAGAAAGAAATGTAATTAAAGATTATTATAAAAAATCATTAGTGATTAGGTAAATTTAGTAAATCGCCTTCAGGGAGTATTTATTAAATTTTTTGAAAGCTATTTACAAATAATAATAAACTGAAATTTTCTTGGACTATTTTTCTCAAAATTTTCCTTTCTTTTTATTCAAAGCTAACAGTTTCTTGTAAAACTGTTCAATTTTCATGCCTTCAAATGTTTAGCATATCTTCTTTCTTCTTTTATGTTCTGTGTCCTTTCAGATCATAGGCAATCATGGCCTCCATATCTTCCTGTTCCTTGGAGCTCTTGATAAGTTTTGTCTTGTTATTTCTCCTAAACCCTGTTCTATCATCCATTTGCTCACGCCCATCAAGTATGTTACGCACTGCTTTCCTTTGTCCCTCTTTCCCTCTATTTGTCCTGTGAGTATCAGATTTTCCAAGGCCTCTTTCCTCATTATGTGTCCCAGAAATTTCAACTGTCTCTTCCTGATGTTAAGTATAAATTTCCTTTTTTCCATTCTTTCCAAAACCGCATTGTTGCTCTCACATATTCAGTCCATGGTATCCTCAGCATCTTTCTATAGAACCATATTTCTGATGCTTCAAGTCTCTTCCTCATCTTTGAAGAGATTGTCCAGCATTCACTGTAATTTAAGAGAACAGATATCACATAACAGTTCAGTTTTTTTTTTGTTTTTTTTTTTAACAATGATGGTCATCCTGTACAATACGAGAGAGATACTCAATGTAAAATATTACACAATAAGATGTACCACCCAAATCAAGGTGATAACACTTCTGAGATGCAAGGAGCCACCAGAAGTGAAAGAGGAGGAAAAAACATTAGAAGGAACCTGAAAACCCAATCAGGAAACAAGGGATAAACCTCAACTCCTGTTTAAAAGACCTGAAATGAGTGTGAATTAGATCATAGTAATTGAAAGATAAAAGAAAGATTTGAGGTTCTTTTTCTAATCTGAGGTTGGAGTGACTTTCATTCAAGCTTGAGCCAAAATGTTTTTCTCCTGTTTTTAATATTTTTGTTGATGATGTAACTACAAACAGATCTTCTTGAAGTGAGATCTGAGAATTCTAATGGCTAAATCCTGAGTTGGATTAAAAAATTAACATACAAAGAGTTGTTATATCTTTCAGTAAGTTGATAACGTCAGAGATTCAGGATGACTACAAGATATAATTCTTTATTAATGTATGCACTTTCTCTCTCTCTCACACATATGCAACAAAATATTAAGATAGGTTTTACATTTTATTTTCATTTCCACTTCTAAAATTTGAATATCACACTTTCATTTGTTAATTTTCAGTCTTTATTTAGACGAAGATTCTATATTGAACTGAGTGAACAAAAACAAAAAATACTATGACAAAAAATAATTTGAACTGTAGATAATACTGAAATTTTTTTTTTTTTACCAAGATTGTTTTGTTTTTTTTTAGTTTTTTATATTTTGTTTGAACATAGATCAGGATATTCATGCAAAATATTCATACAATGTGAATCTTGGTTTGAACCCAGGTATAATTATTAAAATCTGCAGTAACCATTTCTCTCTCTTTGCTGATTTGTTCTGATGAGCTTTCCTCTTTGGTACCTTAAATTTACAAATTTGAGCACAGTACTAGATTGGCAGCTAGGTTTCATCGTTTTATACTTGAAACTTCTAAATGTAACCATAAGTTCTATGCAGTTTCTTCTCTATCACTTCTCTCTCGTGGAACTTTCTTCTGGCTTCTTGCTTTCCAGTCAAATTTGATCTTCAAAAATTCAAATGAAATGTCAATTGTCATCTTCAGTCTCTTTGAAATCTGTTCTTTTATTGTCCTATCAACTTAATAATTTTTTTCAGATTCTTTCATACTCAGTAAACCCTTATGTCTTAGTGGCTCTATCACCATATTTGGGGTGAAACAATTAAAAAAAAAAATATAGCCTATATTTCTGAGGTGAGGTATTGTAATTATTTACATGATTTACATTCTTCAGACTGTTATCCTCATCTTCATATATTAACAACTTCTTCAGGTGATTGGAATTTTGTTTGCCTCTTCCGGATACCTCATTATAAGTTATCTCCCTTTAACTCAACTCTCAAAGTTTTTGTTCACCTGTAGCAAGGTATTGAACTCACAACACTTTGGGTCAAGTCACCGGATCCAACCAACTGTCCGTGAGACATCAGTGTATGAATTTTTGGGACTTATAAACCTAATATCTCAGTAAACATTTTTTACCAGAGCTCATGTTACAATTTCACTGTTATTGTTTTTATCCTAGCCCTCTGTATTGCTGGTTCCCATATTGTATTCATTTCTATGCTTTGCTAGCTTAGGAGATTTTGTTGCTTAGCATATGTGCTAATTCCTTAAGTTTTGTATTTTCCAGTGATGTTCTTTGTCTATTATTCCAACTCATGCCACAGGGGTGGTGATCTCCTTTTTCCTTCATATATGATCAGCTATGCTTGCTTTTTTCTATTTCCCCCTGTTATTGCTTTATGGTGTCCCTGCAGTCTTATCTTAAGGGACAGCCTGTTTCTCTTTATGTTTCTTACAACAGCTGCATGGAATGACATACACACAGTCCTTAATCATATTCTCCTCTATGGAAGGTTTTTACTTGGAAGAGGTATGTGCAAAGTGTTGAACCACATTTGAAGATTGTCCTGATGCTATATGAACGACAGATCTGCTTACAACATAAAGTAAAAAAACTTAAGATTTATGTTAAAGGGAGATAACTGATACTGAGACATCTGGAAGAGGTATAGCACAGTCTATCCCAGTGGATGAAATAAAGGGTTCAGTTCCAAATCCAATCACCTGAAGAAGGCTGGAGTGTACAATAGCCAAAATGTTGTGAAAATGGCAACGAGGATGAGGACAACAGTCTGAGCAATGTAAATAACCATTTTCAGCATAAAATCTGACAGCACTAAAGAAATTTTGATTCCATTAATTTCCTTACAGATGAATAGGAGGTTTAAAGCAATAGAGAAATCATTCTACAGAAAGATGCTGTCAATACCAT